CAACGCTGTATTGTGATTCCATGAACTTTTAGCTACATAAAGGCAACATTGAATGGAGGAGAGAGAGAGAGAGGGGGGGAGGTCTTGTCAATGATTTAGAGTGTTAGAAACAGGAGTGTTATTCTACGCATAAATAGGACTGTACAAACATGATGTGTCAACTAATTTTAGCGCTGATTGTGGGCCCCCCTACTGTTCGATGAACAGATAACTAGACAAGTTGTTTGTTGACATGTTTTCAGTTGCATAACGGCGGACTAATTCTGCTTCAAAATTCGGATGCTTACGCTTTTTTAAATTTACTTACAATTCCAACAGCGTATGAAATGTCACCAATGTGGAAAACAAGTGAGCTTCCATTCTCGGCTTCCTCAACCATGTACTTAGCTGTATCGTGCGCGCCAGGGATGGCTGTGATCCCCATGTCTCCATAAACTACAAATTTAAAGGACGCATCTGGATCTGTGACGGGAGCTGAACGAAAGTGGTGCACAGGGCTCATTATCTGCATAAGGAGATAAAACCATGGAGAAATCGTAGGAAATAAGGTGAAAACTCTTTCACACAAATCTTCCCTCAAGTTCATTTCGTGGGATCTTTTTCCCGTGTCGTTTGTCACAACGTCTCCCTGTATCAGAATTAATTAAGACAAGCGGAGGCGTGGCTAATGGGGCCTATGGCGCATAGGACCCCCTCTCGGTCAAAGTTATGATAAGTAATTATAAGTGCAAACCCTTCAGAAATCTCTCGGGGTCGGAGCTCGTGTATTTCGAGGGCTTCCAGAGAAGGGAAGGAATTGCCGCCTACATTTCACGCATACCATAAAAGCATTATGCTTCTTTACGATTGAAAATGTACGATGTAAAAACCTAAAACGTTATCTAGTCAAAATGAATGACAGTACAAGTACTACAATAGTGTCTTTTATGCGGGTGGAGGAGGAAGGCAAGGGGCCTATTTAGAAACTTGAAGTTCGAGGAAGGTGTTTATTAGATGTGAGAAGTAGCTGAAAAAGAAGGAGGGAGGCGTATGAGGGCGTTGATGGTGTAATGGAAAATCCCCAGCTATGATGCTCGAAAAATACCAGTAAGACCAGTAAGACGTTAGTGTTGGAACACCTAACTGCAAAATCTCACATCCTCTTACTGAGAAACGCATGAACTCGTTGAGTATGATTATGAAAAATCAGTTATGTACCGTAGAATTACAAAAAAGTTCAGGGCATGCAGGAAAACCCCAGAACCACAAACTCTTTACCGTTCCTGTTTGCGGTTTACTTCTCTGTTCCCCGATTGGCTTTCTCATCGGAAAAAATTCCACGAGAGTCTCTAGGGTTCATTTTTTTTCTGAGTTTCTCTTTAAAGTTACCAACAAACCTCCGATGATCCGTACGAATAGAAATACTGTATAGAGGGAGTCAATCCTGTCAAGAGAACATCATGAATGTAGCCAGGATTTCTAAAACATATCCACAACGACGCCGGTGGGCCACACATATCGCTCCTTTGGTATGTCTTTGAGGTGCCTGTGGCCCTGAACTTCAGCAGAGAGGGATCTTTTCCATAGTATACAACCGGAGTTTCATCTGAAAAAAAACCATCTCAGTATTACGAAGACGCAAATGATGAGATTTAAATGAGAGATGAACGACCACAGTAAAATTTTCCTTGGAAGATGTACAGCGGTGGTTTGCTTACGACGCTGCCACATTCTCGTCATCCTTCAACAATTGCTAAAGAAATTTATCAAGATAGAGTGAAGAACAATGCAATAACTTTTCTCTATCAGGATAACCAATAATTTTTTCCCTAAATTTGACAGTCTCAGTAGCTGTCAGCCATCCTAAGGTACAAAGTAAGGTTATTAAAGAAATCAAGGGCGCAGAGTCACGACATTCAAGCGCACACAATCGCTATGTCGAGGTCCCCTCCACCTCTAACTGTGAATGAGAATCACTCGTGTGATCGATCGTGTCCATTTGGGAGATATGAACGTAAATGCTTGCGTGCTTGCCCTATATAAGTCCTATTTAGCCGCTATGAACAAAATCTTTATTTACACACGCCCGTGCGTAAATAAGATGACGTGGGCATTTCTTTTACCTGGCTTCAGAGTTTCTGCTGCAGCCATAACTGTTCGTCAAAATAACAGCGTGGTGGTTGCCCAGGAGAAAACTGCAAGTTTCCTGCAGTCTGTCTTCTCCAATTGCACCGTGCACGGCAGCGTAAACATTATTTTAACCAATCAAAACTCTTGATAACTTCGGGTCTTTGACTTTTAAAACATTTTTTGGTGACACTTGAGTTCATTTGGCTTTGATTTTCTCTATTTTCCCCGTAAATTTTGAGCTTTTCACTTACAGTTACAGGTTAACTCGATCAAATGTCCTTGCTCAAACCAAAGTATAAAATGTGGCGTGTTTTTGACCAGCCAATAGGGACGTTTGTTTACTTTTTTTTGTGCGTTGTGAGAATTTTGCACTCTATCACAATAAAAGGCTTTTTCGCGCAGATCCTTGTCGCTCTGTTATAAAATAATTTGCTCATGCTTTTAGCTGTGCTTATATCAAGTTATGGACGCACTTAGGAAGTTTGGAGAGGACTCAAAAAGCTAGAGTTGCTTTCGGCTGTGCCTCGAGCTACTCTTTCACATTTTTCGTGCTCTCCAAACTTCCCGCGTACATCCATAACTCGATATAAGCACGCTAACCATGAACAAATTCTTAATTTCAGCACCTCTTATGATCATAACCTTCAATGCCCAGCCCCTTTTTCATGCCGATCACTTGCACAGTCATCGTTACCAGCACAGTCATCGTTGCAAGTTCAAGAAGTAGTAAGCGTTCGGCGAAAAGTAGGATCGGAAGTGAAAGTTTATCAACAGCTAAGCACTTCACTAAATAAACGGCACAACAATGATTTTACCTGTTCCCGAAACCCACATAACTCTCATCTGTGTTGGATCGCCTGTAAGGGCCAGATGACCTTGCAAAGGAGCATTTTTTCCTCCCTTAAATTCGAGCACATTACTGGTGGCTACTTGAATGTGTTTCTCCTGATAATAACGGAATTCGCAGCTGGTTCTCATATTGTGCACAGTGACCTGCCTCCAGCCATATCCAAAAACATAACTTGGCGAGTCTGTCACGTAAAACAAGTCCAAATAATGATCAGGATGATCCTCTTCAGGGCAATAAAACGCGATAATATCCGTGCTGTTAGGCATCTGTATTCCACTCCAAGAAACATTCACAGTGGCACTGTTTTCTACCAAAGAGGGATTGACCTCCAGAATAGCACCGGTGGAAAAATCTCTCCGAGTTGGATTCGCAAACTCTACACGAGTTTTGAGATTGCCGGCGTCTACTAGTGAGCCATCCGGATTTATGCGTTTAAAGTAAGTGGGAACTGCGTGGTTTTTCTTTGTCTCTGTCGCTGAAAATAGGCCAAGAAGAAAATATGCCAACAGATGAGCCCACCAAGCTGCCATGTTAATATTTCTGGTTGTTGCAGCGCCGGAGCTCATATCATCACTGTTGCGTAACGAGGAAGAACGGGTCACTGCCTGAAAAGGATGCGTGATGTGTCTGTGATGGCGAGATGTGCAAGTGATTGTGTGATCTTCACAGTGTTGAAGACCGTATTCGAAGCGGGGGTGGGTGGGGGCGTTACCGGTAGTGTGTTGTATTGGTATTTTCATATTCTTTTCCTGAAGTTTTGCGGCGTTACTTTTTTAATCTTTTGACCCAAAAACGAACACTGAAAAAGAACTTATTGATGACTTTGGTTACCTTTTAAAATAAGGTAGGCGAGAATGTCCATTAGTACGGTACTTTTTGCAGGGTTTTATCGGTTCTAATTGTGTAGATAGGGTTAAAATGTCGTCAATTTGCGCTTGATGCAGTTATTAACCCAAAAGCTAACCGGGCTGACAACTTCACCTCCCCTGCCCCCCCTCCCGGTATCTACCACTTGGCTGCCAATTTTACATTGGCTCGCGTAAAAATGCCTGTTACACCGCAAAATGTAGTAACGATCGTTGCAAATTGTAGTAAGATCGACCCAAAGTGTAATAACTTTTCGACGCAAAATGTAATAGATCTCGAATGACATTTATCGTCATAACTCTGTTGTCTAACCCATCGCAGATCATGCGATTTAAAAAAAAAACATTTTAAAATCTCACACAGAGCCAAGTGTAAGTTCGGGCCCTCTTCGTTTGAAAATTTATTACATTTTACGTAATTGTATAATGCAATGGAAAACTTATTTCATAGCGAGTGTTATCAGGGCCCGCGCAGCAAATTTTTGAGTAGGGGGTGCTAAAGACGCACGCGTAAGCCTTAGCCAACAAGGCATGGGTCTGAGGCATGCTCAGCTAGACAAGTTTTTTTACCAAAAAAAAGGGGGGGTCTAAAGCCCCCCTCCCTGGTTACTCCAGCGATTATTACGAAACCGAAGCCTAAAGATCATTATTCAAGCAGAGACAGGCCAATGTTGCACATATCTTATGGTTATCAAAGATTTCTTGACTAACCAGAGCTCAGCAGTATTGGCCGACCTCAATAAAATACCTGTAAGCACATGCACATTGTCTTATTATGATCAGGAGCCTGTTATTTTTTAATACGGCCTGATCCCTGACTCTGTGAGAAACACTGTTGATCTCGATCTCAAAGTTTATGAACTCATTAATTCTGGAAAACAATTTTTAGAAAACACGAAATTAATAAAAATTGTCCTTCTAAATCGATTTTTTGTAATTCGCACATTTCGTCTTCAACAAGACAAACGTTACCTCGCATGAAAGAAGCCGCATAAGCACGTTTTGTGCCTCTCGAGTAACGCACGATAATTGTCTGATCCTTCCGCGTGGAAAATAGCACTAGGCTATTGGCGACCTTGAATCGAGCTCATGGTTGCAGGGAGGAGACACACGGTGCACGCATCAAGAACGGAAGGCACAGGCACCGACTAACAACACTAAGAGACAACCTTAAATGAAAAAATCAATCGAAAAAAATTTAATAACATTCACTCAACTGCGTCACATATCAAAGGGTTATTATCTTACTCACTTCTACGAGAGAGAGCTATACTGTACTGGTAACAAACGTTATTTTTCGTGTTCAGTCCTGGTAACCTCAACTAGCTGGGACCGTCTGAGGAACAACCTCTCGCTTACAATGTCGGTAACTTCGAATGTCTCTGATAACCAACCTCTGTGTGTTCTGGATATTGTATCAGATAAATCAGTTTACTCTGGATTATGATTATTCCACTTATGCTCGAAATTTGGCCCTCTGTCTTATAGTAAATTATCAGTTGCTAATTCAGGAGAAATCTCGCCTTTCTCCATTAATCAATCCACAAAAGACAGCATTACCGGTAAACATATTTAAGTCTATACAGTGCTATTAAAGTGAAAATTTTTCTCATGAGATGTATGATAATTAAGTTTTAAAAACTCATTTTTAAGTCTGCATTGTCTATTTTATACCAAACGAGGGTTAGCACACATAAAAAATGATTATCACTTCGTCAACCACACTTGATCTTTGACCTTTCCGCTTGTATTCTGAACCCATTCCCACAGCAGCGCAGACCGATTAGCTTGAGTCAGCCGGCCATATCCATAGTCCCTTTCGTGATACAGCGACCAGCTCGCAGGAAAATAATCTTCTGTATCCAACTCTTTCCCTGCTGTCCCCACGACGATGTGCACAGGTGCTCCTGGGGTACACTGACGCTGGTAGACAGGACATGTGCGCTCATAGCTGTGATAATGAGCCCAGAAGGCCAGATCAACTTTGTACTTATACAACAGAGAATCTAATGCGTGCTGCATGCCAAGGGAGACGATGTAATCCACTGCAAAGGTAAAACAAAGACAAAGTGGAAAACAATGGTTGTAATTTTAAAATGATATTGAATATAATGATGATAAAACAATAATCATATTGATGATGTCATTTACAAATCACGCAGATTTGTTAATAAGCCTGATACGAGCCTCTGTTTATTAGCCGATGAAAACCATTGTTGAAACAAAATTATTCTTAATTATCCCTCACTCAGCACCTACTCTTGAAAGTGAGTATCTCAAGTAAATTTGTAAGGTTTCCTTCTGTGTGTGAGTTGTGGTGGCCTCACAATTAATGTCCTGGACTCCAGGACAAGAGGTGTGGATGTTGGTGCTAGTTAAAGTAAGTGTGTTGAATTCTTTCACGGCTCTATCTTTACCCAGAGTTAGATTCTGCACTGGCTAACTAACTGTGTTGAGTTCATTGCCAAGTGCAAAATTAACCACAATGGCTCTCTCTCCACTCAGAGTGGATTTTTCACCGGCTGAGTAACTGTGTTAAGTTCTTTAAAGAGAAAAGTTATTATCACAATAGTTTTTTCTCCACCCAGAATGGATTTTGCACTTGTTAGCCCTTTAGTCCCATTAGTGACCTAGACAGAATTTCTCCTTACACCATCAGTACAATATCAAGCAGACAAGTAATGAGAATAAAGAAAAATATCAATTAGGGGATTACTGGTTGATCCAATTTCAAATTCTCCAAACTAACTTCATAGGAATTGTATGGTAGACAGTAAGGAGAATTACTAATGGGATCTTGGGAGTTAAAGGGTTAAGTAACTGTGTTGAGTTCTTCACCAAGAAAATTCATTATCATCGCAGCTTTTCCTACGTCCAAAGTAGGATTTTGCACTGGTTAACTTATTGTGTTTAGTTATTTAAAGAGGAAAGTTGTTATCACTATGGCTTTTTCTCCACCCACAGTGGATTTTGCACTTGTTAAGTAACTGTGTTGAGTTCTTTAACAAAAAGATTCATAATCAATATGGCTTTCTCTTCACCCAGAGCTGGAATTTACACTAGCTGAGTAACTGTGTTGAGTTCTTTACCAGGAAAATTTGCAATTACTATGGTTCTCTCTCCACCCAAAGTGGATTTTGCATTTGTTAAGTTACTGTTTTGAGTTCTTTGCCAAGCCAAATTAGTATCTCCACGGCTCTCTCTCCATTCAGGAGTATAAATAAATACCAGTAAACTGTATCTCTATCACAAGAATGAAATGCTAGTCTAACAACTTTCATCATTCAGATAATGGATAGGATGTCTCTCTTAGTTTGTTATTGGGCTTGATACTTAATTCTATTTGTCCCACTTACCTTCCTCCTTCTGACTTGAGTACATAGCTCTGTGGCCTACAATTGCTACCCAAGGGGTGAGAGAGCGGTTGACATTCTTTAAGTCTTGTTCAATCCATTTGTACTGACGAGATCCTTGTGTAAAGTTGTGTTCTGTGCTCATCATCGTGAAGTGGATACTGCCATAATCAAAGCTGTACCTGTCAAAAGAAAGAAAAAAAATTAACGTTTTCAAAGAGGTGTAATCTACATCAATCATCCGATACAATATCTTTTTTTGATGTAAAAATAATTTCTGATGAGATAAGCATAACAAAAAAAAAAAGAAAATGGCAAATTGCTTTAAGACTTCTGTGACTGTTCATTACAGGCATTATTTGTACACATGCAGAAAGTTGGTTAAAACTATACATGACAAAAAAAATTATGCACTTCTAATTGGCTTGAAAGGTGTACATTTTTTAAGTAAAATGAGTGCAAAGTCATGACACAAGTGTAAAGTACAAATAACATGCACTGTCAAAATTTTGTCTGTCCTGACTTCTGCGATGCTTTTTTCATGAAAATTATAAAGAAGTTATGACACAATTTCTCATGCAATTTGGTGTGAATAAGCACTTGTAAATTTTTCGAAGACTTCAAATTGCACTTGCCCTACAGGCTCATGCAATTTTTCTGCTTTTGAAAAAATTAATTCATGCTCAGTCACCAAAACCAAAATCCACTTGAAATCATGTTATTACCTATAACAATACCATCTTGTGAGTTGTCATTTTTTTTCTGTTAAAAGCAAGAGTTTCAATAATTCAAAATCCTTTTCATGACCCCAACATGAAAGTCTGGATTAATCACCATACATGATCTACACTTGACATAAAAACTCCTTTCTGTGTTCAATGAAGAGTTACAGGAGGGAAACAACAAAAACTTTGAGTTTGTGAGAGAGGAAATAAGTTTGTCATATCTGGACTTACCACCACACTGCATTTCCATTGTCAGGCATGTGGAAACGGTAATACATTGGAACACCACATTCACCAAATGAATCATGGCCCCATCCCCCTGACCACCAAGGATGAAAGCCTTCTCCAGGAGCTCCACTGGGGTCCTTGGATCCTCCCTTCACGTGATCCTGCTCATGGTTCCCAATACCCACCATATATGGCAGTATGGTGGCATAGGGCTCAATAATTGCATGCCACTGTTCCCAAATGTAGGCCTGTGATGAATATAAAATGTTTATTTCATGTGGGAATGGTCTTACAGAAACTACATGTAGAAGAAACCTGTAAAATTCATTTCTTTTAGGAACTGTTGCGCAAAGTGCGAAGATTATAAGAAAGAGACTTTTTGGAGGCACAATAGCAGCATAAGGGAATACTTGAAAAAAAACTTGATTCAACTGAAAGAGGATTATGTGCAAGTATCCTACATTAGCACTACTTGGGTTTTTAAAATAAAAGCGGCTTTGAAGGCTTGTGATTAGTGTCTTGATGTACAACTAAAGATTTGTTATAGCTTGACCAAAAACTTAAGACTAAACTTAAAGCAAAAGCAATAAAACTTGTTTCACTTACATGCCCTCGAGCATAAGATATATCACCATTGTGAATTACAAAAGCTGCAGTTCCATTGTTAGCCTCCTCAGTTGCATAATCTGCTGTCTTGTATGCACGAGGTATCGGGGATACTCCCATGTCTCCATAAACCAGGGCAGTAAACCTATTTGCAGAGCCAACAGGAGGAGCTGTATAGAAATGCTGAATGGGACTCATCATCTAAATATTAAACATTCAAATATTTTAAGATCATAAATATTGGTACTTCTGATAAAAGTTGAAAGTTGAAACATTCAAATATTTTAAGATCATAAATATTGGTACTTCTGATAAAAGTTGAAAGTACTGTAATTGGCCAGTCCTAAGATACTTGGCATACCTATCTTTACTAGTCACCTGGACAAGAGTTATTTCTAAATCCATTACCCAGGCATATAGCATCATATCCAAGGTTATTTCCCAAAAGCATCATATCCATAGTGTCTACCCAAAGTCTACCCAAAGTCTACCCAAAGTCTACCCAAAGTCTACCCAAAACAGTTTACGATTACCAATTCTGTGAATTTGGTAATTTATTGTTGGTGAAATAAAAAATATTTACCAGTAGAAATCAGTTGTGTTAGGTGATCTACTATCAATATTGCAAGAGAACAAACTGTTCTGATAGTTCACAAGTTAACATATACATACACACAAGTTAAAGATTCACAAGACTTGCACAGTTATTTGGATGTCATTTCAATGCTTAGCTTCAACTGATCTTCAGAAAACCATAAGTTCACCTAAAAAGCTGGAAGTTTGGACGGCATTAGACATCAGATAATTCTCTGACCTGTATACCAAATTCTTCAACTGCCTTTTGATGACCCCTTTTATTCAAAAGTAGAAAACATTCTAATATTACAGTATCTTACAATATTCACCTGCTTCTTGATTTTCAAACAAAAACCCTTGAAAGACCACATGTACACAAAACAATTCAGTTCTGCAAAAAATACCTTCTTTGAACCATAAGAGTAGTAATATCTTGTTCCTGGTGTGAGGTTAGTCAGCAGAACATCATGAATATAGCCAGGATCAACAAAGTTATTGACATCATTGGCAGGTGCATTGCACATGTCAGCAGCAGTGTAGGTTTTACTGATATTCCCCATGATCACTTCAGACATAGCTGATGGGTCAGTCCCGTATTTTACAAAAGAAGTTTCCACTACAAATTAAAGCAGTGAATTTATCATCAGAGAAGAAAGAAAAAATCTATTTACCAAAAGGAAAGCTCAGCAACTGTTGATTTTGTTTGTTTGAATTGTTGTATTTACAACAGACAATTCTGCTAAAAATTAAAGCAATGAAATTACCATATGAGGAGAAGAGAAATTCTGGAGTCTAACTGTTGATTTGGTTTAATTGAAAATCGCAATAAGAAAAATAACTGGAAATTATCATTCTATATATCAACGGTGTCATTAAGAACTAATAACAATTTTTGGTGCAGCATGAAAGTCTTGCTTGAAATTGTCAAAAACAGAACTTCTCTATGTGGCATAGCCTAAAAAGTTTACATATTATAGTCCAGGATCATCCTATTGCAGTTTACCCCTCCTCTGAGGGGTAAAAAGGGTTCTGCATAGCTTGCTGGTCAAAAGATACCGAGTGTCTAGCCCACAAAAACAAAAAAATGATTGATGGGAAAACCAAGTTACATTGAATTCTTTAATTTGTGCCGTAGGAAAAAGTGGCAAGTCTAATGCAGAATGCAAGGCACAGACAACATGGTACGCTGAGCAACTCCAGCCAAAGCATGCTTTCTCTGCTCTCTCTATTCTGAAACTATGCACAAATTACAGAACTTACTGAAGCCAGACACCCACATAACTCTCATTTCTGTGGGGTTGCCTGTGAGTGCTAGATGGCCCTGTAATGGCATCTCTGCTCCTCCTTCGAAAGTCACAATATTGCTTTCCACCGCAAGCATCGAGTAGTTACCAATCCTGAAGTATCTGAATACACAGTCCTTCCTTACGTTCCAAAGCCGAACTGCAAACTCGCCATAACCTTTGGGGTAAGTCGCTATAGTACTGACATTGACATAATCTAAATATCGTTCAGGTTCGGCATCTGGTGGACAATATAGAACAACGACATCTTCTTTATTTGGAAAAGTAACTCCATGCCACATGACGTTCACCTCCGCGCCATTTTTTATCTCTGATGAAGGTGACACTTTCAAAACAGCACCAGAATCTTGAGTTGTAATCGGTTTCAGTGGAAAAGAGAACCTGAGCTTATTTGCCGGGTTTCGAGCGTCGACGATGGTTCCATTTGGATGCAGTTTGCCGAAATAAGTTGGAACAGGATGGTCGTGTTTACAGTCTATGCCAGTAGCCCAAAAGATAGATAACCAAACCGCTAAGTTAGAAACCAAAACAGTAGCCACCATTTTGAAATGTGATGTAACGGGTCACATTACATTTCCTTTGTGAAGAGCCTCACCGTGGGGTGGGCAATCACAAGTGAAAGGTAAAGCCGATAACACGTACCCCTCTGATAGATTAAGGCATAAAAAGCCAAACATTTGTTTAAAGTATTTTCAGGGTATCAGAAAAATCGTGCGAAATTTTAGGAAAACGAAGGAGCAAGTGAGATTTTTACGGGCTTTTAGATGTTGATGAGGCGAATTGATTTAATAGTTTCTTTGCCATTGTCTAGAGATCGGACAAAAGCATAATTTTAAATCTGTTTTCATAGCTTTGACTGCAATTAATCCAACCTTAAAGCGATACTTCCATTTTCTAATCTCCAAATCTACACCAGTCAGGTTAGTTAGTAGCCTCCTGCGCAGAGGTTGTTAGGCACGTCACGTCACGCAATCATTCCTCCCCACAAACGTTAGTAGGGAGGAATGATTGCGTGACGTAACAAGCCTGACAACGTCTGCCAAAGAGGCAAAACAGACGAAAGACACACGTTTAAAAAGCTAGCTAGAGTGTTGGGACTTTAATAGGGTTTCATAGAGTCGTTTTGAGGGAAAAAATTGGAGTTTTAAGATATTTTTTTAACGATGTTTTTGTTTGTTTGTCATTGCTTTTTGACTCTTCCAACAAAGTCAAAGGATCACTTCAAACTGCAATGACGCTGTTATTCACTCTTTTGGAAATAGAATTATCAAACACTATCTGAGTTATCATAAACATGCAGTAGACATAGTGAACATCTGTTAAAAAAAAATATGGACTCTAGATATCTTAATAAATTTATTTTCATTTACATTTCGAAAGAATTAAAAGATAAAATATAAAAGGAAGATGTGTTCCAAAATAGAGGAAGGAAGGTTTCATACGTTCTCTAGAAGAGTGGAAAAGAGTGCACTAAATTTCTGTAAAAAGATGCAAAGTTGATAAAGATTCTAATATTAAAATCTGGGGTTGTTGTAATCTAAGACAAAAATCTATTTAAATAGGGAAAAAAAACTAATGATGATTGTTTCCTCACAGAAACTTAAACCCCCTCTCTCCCTCCCTTCTAGGCTGTTCACAGATGATAACTTTATCTCACTACCAAGGGGGTGAGGGTTAGGGGATAATGTCCTCAAGAGATGCACATCCTGAGACAACAAGAGAAAAAGAGCAATTAATGACTTCAAGTAAACTAATATTAATGCCTTGATGAAAGAAATGTGCAAGGATTACCTTGAAAGTTGTCATTTTGTCCATCGATAATACCTTTGATACCATGCGGTATACACTATCCCACTGAAAAAGACCCTCATGCTTAAGAAACAACAGGAGCCCATCATAAGTAATGGGCTCCTGGAAACAAGTACTATCCAGGTACTGGTGTTATCTGATGTTTCAACTTCATCCTCCTCTAAAATTTTCCAGTATCTGAGTTTTTTCAACAATGATGGTGTCAGTAACACACACATGTAAAATCTGCTCTATTTTTTTAATGTCCCAATTGTAGAGCAGAACAGGTCACTGCCTGAAAAGGGTGCACAATGTGTCTGTGATTGCGAGGTGTGGAGGACTGAGGATGAACAAGGGTGTGCCTAATATAATTTGTATGGATTGTTTCCCCCCTGAATTCTACAGCATTATTTTTTTCATATTTTGACCAAAAAAATGAACACTAAAAAAGAACATATGTCTGACTTCAATGAATGCCATAAATTAAAGTAGGTGAGGATGTCCATCACTGCAGGTCTTTTCCCAGGGTTTTACCAGTCATAAGCATGTAAAAGGGTTAAAATGTCTTCAATTTCTTCATACAGATACTAGCCCAAACGGCCATTCTGGGCTGACAATTTCACTGATCCACAAAAGGCAGCATTAACCAAATTAAAATCTATACGGTGCTTTTAAAGTGCAAATTTTTCTTATGAAATGTAATGAAAAATTAGCCTTAAGAACACAGTTTAAAGTCTGCCCTATTCACAAATTGTCTATTTTAAATAAACAAGGGGTAACACACAATCAGAGTGATCATCACTTCGTCAACCACACTTGATCTTTGACCTTTCCACTTGTATTTTCAACCCATTCCCACAGAAGTGCAGAGCGATTTGCCTGAGTCAGCCGGCCATATCCATAGTCATTTTCTTGATACAGTGACCAGCTCACAGGAAAATAATCCTCTAAATCCAACTCTTTCCCTGCTGTCCCTACAACAATGTGCACAGGTGCTCCTGGGGTGCATTGACGCTGGTAGACAGGACATGTGCGCTCATAGCTGTGATAATGAGCCCAGAAGGCCAGATCAACTTTGTACTTATACAACAGAGATTCAAATGCATGCTGCATGCCCAGGGAGATGATGTAATCTCCTGCAAATGTTAAACAAAAAAAAAGTATGAAACAGGGGGTATAATTTTCTAATGATAATAAAGATTGTGCAGCCTATACGTGGATGCGGCTTATCTGCAGGTAAATCTGGCATTTGTTAACATGCCTATTAAGAACCTCTTGAAAATTGTGGTTGAAATAATAATTATTCTTAAGCATCCTTCACTCTGAACCTACTCAACCTTGAGCCAAAATGTTAACCACATGACGATGGTAACAAAAACAAACTGGCATCCTAACTACAATGGACTAATATCCCTATCAGAGGAATGGAATGCTTGTCCAATAACTTAAATTGTTCAGGCAATGGATAGAATGCACCTCTTGCTTAGTTATTGGACTTGATACTTATTTTGATTTGTCCTACTTACCCTCCAACTTCTGACTTGTGTACATTGCTCTGTGTCCTGCGATCACTACCCAAGGGGTAAGAGAGTGGTTGACATTCTTTAAGTCTTGTTCCATCCATTCATACTGACGAGATCCTTGTGTAAAGTTGTGTTCTGTGCTCATCATCATGAAGTGGATACTGCCATAATCAAAGCTGTACCTGTCAAAACAAACAAACAAAATCACACATTTCCAAAGAAACAAAATATATTCAATCCTCCAATAGGATATCCTTCCTTGATGTTAAAATAATTTCTGATAAGGTTAACAAGAAAACATGAAAATGGCAAAAAAACTTAAGAATACATATCTTCTGTGATTATCCATTACAGGCATTCCTTGCTCACATGCAGATAGTTGGTAAATACCATAATAATAATCTTTATTGAGATAACTTTTAAACAAACATGGTTTTCAAAAAAGAAGGATCTCATACCACTGAAAATAAAATAAAGCAAGTCGTCAGTTTATTTTTTTTTCTGTTTTACATAACTGAAAAAGATCACTGCATGACAAGAGCTAGTTTCAATAATTCACAATCCTTTCCTGACCCTAACTTGAGAATCTGGATTGATCAACATACATGATAACACTCCTTTCTATGTTCAGTAAGGAGTTACAGAGAAACTCATCTCAAGGGAAATAATGAGAACTTTGAGTTTGTGGGAGAGGAAACAAGTTTGCTATATCTGGACTTACCACCACACTGCATTTCCGTTATCAGGCATGTGGAAACGGTAGTACATTGGAACCCCACATTCACCACCTGAATCATAGCCCCATCCCCCAGACCACCAGGGATGAAAGCCTTCTCCAGGGGCCCCACTGGGGTCCTTGGATCCTCCCTTCAAATGATCCTGCTCATGGTTCCCAATACCCACCATATATGGCAGTATAGTGGCATAGGGCTCAATAATTGCATGCCACTGTTCCCAAATGTAGGCCTGCAATTATACAATAGAGAATCATACATGGGCATGCATAGATATGGAATTTCTCTTTGAGTGTTCAACTCAATAGCTCACAAGTGAGCACAGCAAACAAGTGAGATGTCGAGTTGAACATGAGAAGAGAAATTCCATATCTATAAGCAACCATGTATTATTTTGTTTATCATATAAACACAATAGCCTTTTACTGTCAAGAAAAGCCTACTTCATTAATGAATGAAAATAAATGAATCAACAATCCCCAAATAACAATCGTAAAGTGCGTTGGCGCTAACTGTCAAGATGGAAAAAGGCGTTGAATCACTATTACAAAAACAACAATGGTCGTTATTTTTAATTTACCAAATTCTCATTTATTGAATTTGTCCTCACCAACAGAAGAAGTCTTTCAGGTAAAAGACCAAAATCGGCCAGTGGCAAATCTTCCAGTAGTCAATTTTCATTATCAGCCAAAAGAAATGCCAACACCAAAGCCACTGAATACGTAACTTTTGGTTTCTTTTTGTTGCTAGTCACTCTCAATAACTACATTCAGGTAAAGAGTATTATGGGAAGGTATCCTCAGCAGTTACTACACTGGTTTTTAAAACAAGAGAGGTGTGGTAAGCTCATGATTATTGTGTTTATATATGTTGTGGTTCAATTTTATCCTTAGTTCAAATTTTATTTTTTTTGTTTTTGGGTATTGTAATGTATGATAATGAGTTTGAAACAAAAGAAATTAAAATTTGAACCAAGGATGAAATTGAACCACAACATATACAACTAAAAGTTGGCCAAGTTTTAACAAAAAATTTGCAACAAAACTTAAAGGAAAATCAACAGAATTTGTTACACTACTTACAAATCCTCGAGCATAAGAAATATCACCATTGTGAAATACAAAGGCTGCAGTTCCATTGTTAGCCTCTTCTGTTGCATAATCTGCTGTCTTGTATGCCCTAGGTATTGGGGATATTCCCATGTCTCCATAAACCAGGGCAGTAAACCTATTTGCAGAACCAACAGGAGGAGCTGTATTAAAATGCTGAATGGGACTCATCATCTAAAAATTAAACATTAAAATATTTTAAGATCACAAAGACTTAATAATGAAAGTTGAAAGTATTATAGTTGGCCAGTCCCAAGTTGAGGCATGCCTTTACCTGTCACTTGGACAAGTATTATTTCTAAATCCATTAACCTTAAGCATCATATCCAGGGTGATTTCCCATAAGTCCACCCAAGAGAGCTCAAAGGCAACAATTTCATGATGTTCAACAAGAAAAGAATTTGGAAATTTTATTCTCAGTGGAAAGAAAACTAATTGCTGATGGAAATGAGAAGTGATGAGTGATATATTAAAGTGTTGCAAGATATTAACTTTTGTGATACCTCACAGGCAAAATACACTTCTTCTCAGGTGAAAGATTCACTGGACTTGCACAGTTATTAGGGGTCATTTCAATGCTTAGTTTTGACTGATTTTCACTTCAGAAAACCATGAGTTCACCTAAAAAGGAGGAAGTTCTGTGCGCATCACACATCAGATAATTCTCTAACCTGTATACCAAATTCTCCAACTACCATTTGATGACCCTTTTTATCAAAAATAGTAGAAAATATCCTCCTGTTACAGTATTTTATACTATCTGCCTACTTCTTGATTTTTTTTTAATCAAAATCCTGGAAAGACTAATATATGACATGATTCAATCCTGAAAAGGATACCTTCACTGAACCATAGGAGTAGTAATATTTTGTTCCTGGTGTGAGGTTAGTCAGCAGAACATCATGAATATAGCCAGGATCAACAAAGTTATTGACATCATTGGCAGGTGCATTGCACATGTCAGCAGCAGTGTAGGTTTTACTGATATTCCCCATGATCACTTCAGACATAGCGGACAGGTCAGTTCCATATTTTACAACAGAAGTTTCCACTATAAATTAAAGTAATGAATTTATCATCAGAGGAGAAAGAAAAAAATCTATTTACCAAAAGAAAGCTAGGCAATTGTTGATTTTGTTTGTTTGAAAATCTAAATTCAGATAATAAGTGGCTTTTATCATTTTTTATATAAACTGTGTCAGTAAGAACTATTTACACATTTTTATGCAGCATGATAGATTCTTACTAGGAATTGTCAAAAAGGTTTATCCATTTTAATTATAAACCTGATAGTACGCATGGGCAATAAGAAGTGCATCCTCTTTGTTTGGTCAAGATAGCAGGAGATCAGCCTTCTTCCTTTAATGTGTTTTTAAGGAACCTTGCCAATATTCAGCCATCTTGACCAAACAAGCTTGGTCACATAACAAATACATTTAAATAAATAGGATGATCCTTTCCCGTTTGCCTTTAAAAAGATACAAAGAGTCTTACTAAAAAGTAAAATGAAATAATGATTTCAGGAGGAATCGAAAAAGGGGGTGGATAAGGGAAAACAAAGTGACATTGGATAGCTTTGTAAAATGGGAGAAAAGAAGTAAATCTATTGTATACAAGGCATGAGAAACATGGTTGGCAGTGCAACTCGAGCTATAGCATGCGTCCTCTACTTCCTCTATTCTAAAACTTTGCAAAAATTGTACAACTTACTTAAGCCGGACACCCACATAACTCTCATTTCTGTAGGGTTGCCTGTGAGTGATAGATGGCCCTGCAGTGGTATCTCTACTCCTCCTTCGAAAGTAACAACGTTGCTTTGTACCACAAGCATCGAGTAGTTACCAATCCTGTAGTATCTGAATACACAGTCCTTCCTTAAATTCCAAAGTCGAACCCCAAACTCGCCATAACCTTTCGAGTAAGTGGCAATGCTGCTGACATTGACATAGTCTAAATAAAGATCGGGTTCGGCATCCGGTGGGCAGTAAAGACCAACAACATCTTTTTTATTTGGAAGAGTAACTCCATACCACATGACGTTCACCTCCGCGCCGTTTTTGATCTCTAATGAAGGTGACACTTTCAAAACAGCACCAGAATCTTGAGTTGTAATCGGTTTCAGTGGAAAGGAGAACCTAAGTTTATTTGCCGGGTTTCGAGCATCGACAATGGTTCCATTAGGATGCAGTTTGCCGAAATAAGTTGGAACGGGATGATCGTGTTTACAGTCCATGCCAGTGACCCAAATGATAGATATCCAAACTACTAGGAAGGCCTCAGCGGCTGCCATTTTGAAGGAAGGAACGGACTTTAGGTGATGTAACGGAGTCACGCGATATACATATAGTTCGCAAACAGCCTCACCGTGGGCTGGTGGGCCAATACAGATGAACGATACGCAACTAATCCCCTCCTCCCCCCCTCTACTCATGCACCTTTAGAATTGAAGAGGTTTAAGGAATATGTAGAAGGAAGGATTTTTATGAGATTTTAGATGATAATGACAAAAGTGTGTGTGTTTGTAACGAGGAAGATCATTCATTTTTTTCTTTGATTTTCTCTGCCCGCTCTGTTATGAAACCTAACAAAATCACAACTTTTTCTTGCATTCCTTTTTACTATTGAATGACTTCAATACAACCTTTGAGCAACATCCCCATTTTGTAATCCTCAAATTTACACTACTCAGGCAAGGTGGAAACGAGTCCCTTTCATCTACTGTTTTGGAGACATACACCAAAGGGTTTCAGAGCGTCTTTTAGAAGAAAAATAATGAGAATTTTAATTTGTAGATTTTTACAATTTCTGTGTCCCAGGCTACTAAAGTTCTCCCTTGTTTTTTAATCCTCTGACGAAGTAAAAGGATCGTTTCAAGCTGCAATGGCGCTGTTATTGATTCTTTTGGAAATAAAATGATCAAACACTATCCGAGTTATCATAAACCTGTATAAAAGTAGACATAGCGAACAGCTTAAAAGAGTCACGGACCTACAAATCTTAATAAAACCTTTATTCTTCATTAACTTAAAATATCGGTGGAAATAAAAAGAGGAGGATGTGACAAATTCAAGAGAGGTTAATACGTTCTCTGGAAGGGTGAAAGTGAGTGCATATGGTGTAATTCACGTATCTACTGTCGAAAATCCGTTTAGTTTAAAAAAAAAAATTTATAGTATTAAAATCTGGGCTTATCGCACTCTTTTACAAAATCTATTAAAATAGCAAAAAACGGACAACGACTGTTGTCACATAAAATTATTGAAACTCCTTCTATGAATGCTTGCAAGAATGCGTTCGCTTTTGCAAATAAATTTTTTCACTGGGAATAAATATCCCCAGTTTAAATTCAAAGCAATTCATTTCACTGCTGCTCTGATTTTCCTGATGGGAAAATTGCCATTTCTCAGCATATCATCGAATTCTAAGCCTTTCACAGATTACTTGCTTGTCTCATCACTAAAGCTGGGGTAATGTCCTTGAGAGATGCACAACCTGACACAACAGAAGAAACATTGCAATTAATGGCTTCAAGTGAATTACTTTTCACACTATGATAAAAAAAAATGAGCAATGATGACCTTGAGATTTGGGGTTGGTGTAACGATATCAAATTGATGGCGATAGCGATCTTTACAACGAAGGAGCTAATAATAATAATAATGATAATAATAATAATAATGATAATAATAATAATAATAATAATAATAATAATAATGGTAATAATAATAATACTAACAAAAATACAGAATGGGCATGCTCATTTCCTTCTAAGGTGGCCAAACGAATATTTCACGGCAAATAGAAGACGAAAAAAGGGTTTTAGATTGGTAAGTGATTTCGCAGCGTGCTAATCAATCGTAGTCAACGAAAAGTTTGCTAGATTCTAAACCCCGGAGAACCTACAGGTTAAAAAACTACTGCAATACTTTCCAGAGTTAGAGATGAGGCTTCAATAATAAATCCTTAATTAGCTAAAGCATTGTGAAAATAAGTTGTTCAAGTTACAGCAATGGTAGTGCTGTTGCTCAAGCAGCGCAAACTCATTTATATCGGAAGCAGAAGCAGGTCACCTTCTTAGAAAGCTTTTGTAAAACCTGAGTCAATAAAAGTTGCGATTGTACTTGAATTAACGGGTAGACCCAAGTTGATGGATTCAGTCGACTTTTGCGAGTTACAAGTTCAAACATGATACCTGCCAAAGCCATGGCCACCTTCAGTTCATCTCTAAGCATCTCAAGGACTTTACTTACACCCTGCTCTCCCTTATAAAAAAAAAAAAAAAAAAAAAAAAAAAAGAACAAAGACGAGAATGCACGGTTACGGGGCCTGTTGATTATCTTTAATGACGTCTCCTCTAATCCTCTTGAATTGGATGATTTGTTTGTCAAAAAAGATTTCACCCTGGGATCAACGAGGTCTGAATGCAAAAATGGCATAGAAAAATAATTTATATAACGATTCGAGATAAAAGAAATCATATTAAATAACATGACTTTAGAGAACAAAAGAACGATACAAATATTTTCCTGCTGGAAAACGAGTGGGTGCAAATCTGCACCGGTGGTAGACTATGTTACACCATGATAAGCATTTTATTTTTTGTCCGAAGTCCACGGGTAGCATTTCTATCTCTTTTACGCTGAAAACATAGATGAATAAGAGAAACAAACTGACGTAGAAAAGAAAAGATCTCGAAAGCAAAAACAAAACTTTTAGGGGAAAAAGTACCTTGCTCAAAGGGTTCGTGGTAAAGAATGATTGAATGCGAGTCTAAACAAAAAAATTCACACCAGTTTGGCACCTTATATGCGAGTCCCCAGATAACTGGCCTGCCAACAAACACTGCTCGTGCCCCCAAAGCAAGGGCCTTTAGAACATCAGTGCCCCGTCTCACACCACCGTCTATATACACTTCGATCCCAGTCCCTCGCACGGCTTCCACTATATCGGGTAACACCTCAATCTGAGAACAAATGAAATATTTTAATAGTCATAACTCCGAGGCAGAAATAAAGGTGTCTTTCGAAAATTTCGTATCAGTTATCAACGTACAGTGGCCGGGACACCATCTAATTGCCGTCCTCCATGATTTGAGACCATAATTCCCTGAGCCCCATGTTGCACCGCGAGACAAGCATCTTCTGGAGTCAGTATTCCCTTGAGAACAAACGGAAGGGACGAAATCGAACGGAGCCAGTCAAATGTCTTCCAATCAACACTGGCGTCAGATGCATTGATAATATAATTATCAATCTCCTCATTAGTGCGAAGTCCTTTCTCCGTATGTAACGATTTGAAATTAGCATACTTCAGATGTTTCGGGAGGTGAAAATTGCGCCTGGCTTTATGTCTACCATAAACCGGAATATCAACTGTTAGGAAAATTGCTTTGTAGCCTGCTTTTTCCGCTCGTTTTACCACTTGCTCCATAAATGGCCGATCACTGTAAAACTGCAACTGCATGAATTTGATCGTGTTCGGACACTCCCGCGCGACGTCCTCAAGACTGTTTGTGGAGTATAAGCTTAAACCCATTGCTGTATCTACAGACTTAACCGCTGAAAGAGAGATGTAATAAAACAATCAGACATAGTTTGATGCTACTCTGGTTTGCAGATTTAATGAATGTATGTAAGGTGATCTAAACGCTGCAATAAGAGGTCCTTTAATATGATCACTAATTAGCGGCCTTTTTTCTGACGAGGTGTAAATAGGCGTCAGGAAGCAAACCGCCATCGTCACGATTTAAAGGAGCGTGGGCGGAGTTAATATGCCAAGCCTCCAAACAAAGGCGCTGGTGGTAACGCCGATTAGTGGTGATAATTTTAGAATTATCTCATCCAATTGTATGGTTAGTTAGGCATGTGTGCTCCATTAAAGCTGAATTTTCCTTTTTGCAAAGGAAAACCGCTTTTTGGTGCTCTTTTAACCGTGTACCAAACTGACGTTTGGTCTGTCCGATGTATTCGTTGCCACAGTCATTGCAAGGAATAGGATAATTGGCGTCGGTTCGTTGTTCTTTCGTGACAGGATCCTTGGGTTTGGCGAAGTCTGAAAAGGTTTTTGAGCAACCTTAACGTTGTGGCTATTCAAAATTCTCTTGATGGGTTCCGTAACGTTGGACGTTAGACGTTGGGTCTATGAATTGTAACTTCTTCGGTTACATTCATTAAATCTGCAAACCAGAGTAGCATCAAACTATGTCTGATTGTCCACCTGGTTGCAGTGTGAACTTTAATATATTTCATTTGCGAGAAAAGTATGGTCAAACTGTTGTTACAAGGGTCAACTGGCTCGCGAACATCAGAGT